ATGTTGGAAAAGAATGTGCGCGGCGCTTAGGCAAGAGCCACAGTTTGAAAACCACCCGCCCTCCATCTGTGAAGCTGCTGTCAATGTTTAAGTTCCAGGGTCATGAACGGTGAGGCAGTCGCAAGCGAATCGCCCGACCCGCCGTTTCGACGGGCCTGGGGGTGCGACAGGGAGAAGTTATAGATAAGGAAGAGGAATGGAGGAGGAGGAAAAAGGAGAAGGAGAAGAAGAAGACGAAGAGGAGGAGGAGGAGGAGGAGGAGGAGGAGCAGGAGCAGGAGGAGGAGGAGGAGGGGGGCGGATGGCGGGGGGAGGTGATGAGGAGTAGGAGGAGGAAGAGGAGGAAGAGGAGGTGGAGGAGAGGAGGAAATGGAGGAGGAGGAGGAGGTTGAGGAGGAGAAGGAGAAGGAGGAGGAGGAGGACAGAGAGGAGGGGAGAGAGGAGGAAGAGGAGGAGAGGAGGGAGGAGGAGAAGGGGAGAAAAGGAGGTGGAGGAGGAGGAGCAGGAAGGGAGGAGAAAGGAGGAGGAGGACAAGGGAGGAGGAGAAGGAGAGGGGGAGGAGGAAGGAGAGAGGAGGAGGTGGAGGAGAGGAGGAGAGCGGGGAGGAGAAGAGGAGGAGGGGAGGAGAAAGGAGGAGCAGGAGGGAGGAGGAGGAGGAGGAGGAGGACGAGGGAGGAGGAGGAGGAGGAGGAGGAGGAGAGGAGGGAGGAGAGAGGAGGAGGAAGGAAGGAGAAGGAGATAGGAGGAGGAGGAAGAGAGGAACAGGAGGAGAAGGAGGAGGATAGGAGGAGGAGGAGGAGGAGGATACGGCGCTGGCTGGCGGACGCCGCGCTCCAGCGATCGGGCGCGAGGGCGCGCACAGCTCAATGAAGGGGTCGCCTTGCGACTCCTCTGGTGCCCGTGGCCCTCCGACTCCCACCAAAGGATCACGGAGCACGGCGGCAGGCACACCACGGAATATCTAGGCCAATCGGGCTCGGTAGAAGTGAAGCAGCGCGGGGAGCACAGATGTGCTCTTCTCTCGCGCCGCTGGCCCGGGCCGCCGAGCAGTAGGTTAGTTTTATGTCGGGCCTGTCCCCCTACAGGGGGATTTTCGACGAACAATAAAAAATACACCCAACATGCCCCAAAAAGGCCAAAAGATATTCCAAAAATAGTCCCCAGACTTTGTTTATATTATTATTTCTGGGGTATGTTTAATTTTTTGTCGAACATCCCCCTGTAGGGGGACAGGCCCGACTTAATGTTAGTTATCGAGCGGAGGGTTCCCCAAGGAGCCGCATCCAGTGAATGTCAGGCTCCGTGGCCACGAGTGGCCTTGGGCGCACGACGCGCCGCCCGCGCGGCATCCTGAGATCGCGGTCGGCTGGGGTGCAGTCGGCTCAAAGATGGCCAGCAGCGCCAACGGCGCCAGCAGAGCAGAGAGCACGCAGGACCCCGAGGAGACCCAGAGTCGATGGCCTCTCGGGGCCTCGGCAAGGACGAGATCAGAGCTGGGCGGGGACCGTGATGGCAGCAAGGGCAGGCCTGGCATTCCTGCCTATGCCACCGATGCGCCTACGCCTGTCCGGCGTTAAGGCAGGCCCACTCCGATCGAGGACATAGACGGCCATTGCAGCGATAGCGAGCGCAGCACCATCTAGGGCCTGCACTTGGACAGTGGGCTCCATGGAAACGTGTTGCTGGACGGCGAGGGGGAGGCAGCACGACGGCAGGCACTGTCACAAGACCTCGAGCGGGGAACGAGCTCCATGACATCCCCGACGTGGCCGCCCCCCCTGGCGGGCATCCCCCTCTTCCGCGTCCGCACCGCCACGGGCTGGAGTGAGCGAGTCGGAGGAGGCCACCTCCACAGCCGCGGGAGTAAGCACCGCACGCCGCCGCCAGGACACGGCCCCCGCCACCAACCCTCGGAGACCGATGCCCATCAGGAGGGGGCGACGGAAGCATGCAGGCGCGCAGGGCAAGACAAGGAGAGGAGATGCGGTCGAGACGCATCGTTCCTGGAGCTCGCCATGCAGAGGTTGCATCTCCACATCGCGCGGCCAGGCACCTGCTCAAAAATGTCTCAGCTCACCACAGCCCTGACTGGGTTCCTCGGGATGCGGGGCCTGTCTAGGCCTGCGTTTTGTTGAAAAACGCGGCCCTCAGGCCCAGACTCGCCCCCTGCTTTGTTTATTTCTCTCTATCCCCTTGTTGCCCGCTCGACCGGTGCTATCTGGCTCGTAGCCGGCTTGAGACGATTTGGTTGCTGAAGCGAGTAATCGAGGAAAGCCTTCCTGCCCCCTAGCGTTGCCGCGCGCTCGCCGCCATGCCCCGCTGCGGGACTGGAGGGGGAGGACGTTGCTGATCCCCTCGGTTCCGCAGTCTCGGCCTTGACGCAAGGTCGAATGTCAACCCTGGCTCCGTCAACAACGAGGGAGCAAATCATGCACCATCCACTTTACAGCTACAGCGAAGCTGCGATGAGCTAGGTGCATGGCCTTGCGATGTGACTTTGGGGCCGCATGCGCACCCCTGCCATTCCGAGCACCTAGGTCAGCTCACCGGTTGCTCGTCGCATCTATTGAGGCCCCTGGCTGGTGGGTTCTCACGAGCTCAACACAAGCACTACTAATGAATCCACCGAAGTCCTGCCTTCTGGCCCAGATGGGCTCCATTCCAAAATATCAACGTTGAGACGACGAGGGGCAAAGCACCAAGCCGACCCCCTCATGAGGCCATCAACCAAACATGCAGTTGGAGAAATACACACCTGGAGGACCTGAAGGAAGGCATACATCTCAGCACGGGGCAACGTCTGTATGGGCCCAGGAAGAGGCCCGTACACTAGGAGATCTACTCCACGTCCCCGAGGTTTCCGAAGCTGATCAAATCCCATCCAGCCTTACAAGATCAGGGCCAGCACCACATCTTACGACAAGCTCCGTCCGTGTATATCCGTCCCGTGATACCATTCGGGTCCTCGTACTGCACGTCCCACCTGCGAGTATCATCTCTACGAGGTAGAGGAGGGAAGCATGACTTGCTGACCAAGCCTCGAGACCACAAGAGAGGAAAGCGGAGATCAGCCTGCTTCTGCTGCGGAAAGCCGCGGAGATCAACTCCACGTGGGTGCTGTTCTCGAGGAGCAGCAAGGTGAGAACATATGCGCCCAAATCGATACGTGTTGCACAATGGGCGCTCACAACGTTGGCAGCTGGAGCGATCCCTATACCCACACTTCGCAAGCCCATCCGGAGTCCATAACCCCCCGCGATGGTACGAAGAAGTTCTGCTTCACGAACATATGGTATCCAAGACCTAGCACCATTGTGGCCAGCGTCAGGTCCTTCAGGAGGCTCTATAGGTTCCCCGTCGAAGTCTTATGGAGTCTTCAGGCTCATCGTAGGAGTCAGGTGTGACAGTCTTATTGAGCAACTGCAGAATGGGCTCTAACCAATATCCCAGGGGCTCCTTCGGCGTACAGTGGCCCCTCGGGCCAAGACCTTGACCGTCGATGGGGCCGTATTTCTCAAATCAGTACTTACCCCAAGATCAGTCCTCCACAAGTGGCCCGCTGTAGTGCCCCACTGGACGTCTTTGAGGGCCAGTAATGTAATACCTGCAGGGCTACCTTATGAATCTGCGTGCCCCGAGCTGCCCGAAGGACGCTGGCTGGCACGGCACTACCACGATATAGCAACGCCCACTGGAAGAGAGGCGCAGCCCACGCATTCATTTGAGGGTCGGTGTGCAGGGATCCCTGCAGGCATGCAGAAATTCAACAGGACGAGCTGGCGCCTGGTGCGTGCCAAGCCTGACGATGGACCGCGCGCATCTGATCGACAAGGCGAGGTGGCGCACTGTGTACGCCTATGTCATACTCTATTGTTGCTGGCAACGTCTGCTACGTCTGCTTCGCAAATCTGCTCAACAATGGGCAGGCCTTGCGAACAGCCTTGATGCGTAGGGCTCTCCTGGCAGCATCGCGCACCCAGGTTCGGATCCTGGTGAATTTCAGAGCCCGGCCAGAGCCCACCTCAGCGCCCAAGATTTCAAGAGCGCTGGCGTTCGAATAACCCAGGGGCCCAAGGATCTCACATCGGCGTCGCCCAAGTACAGGATCACTTCTTGTGAGCTTCATGTTGTGCTCAGCAGGTGGGAGCCCCAGAGCCACAAGCACGTGGATGAGCAACTTGAATACCCTGCTGGCCCAAGACTCCACCACAGACGACGCCCCATACGCGACCGCAGTGATGTCGTCTGCATACAGATCAATGGCGCGCGGAATATGCGAAGCGTGCTTGCACAAGGCATCGAAGGGCGAGGGCATGAGGCACTGCAAGGCAAACATCGCAAATGGATATCCTTGAGGAGGAGGAGGAGGAAGAAGAAGAGGAGGAGGAGGAGGAGGAGAGCGAGGAGGAGGAGGAGGAGGAGGAGGAGGCTTCGCGCCACCGCACCTCGGATCCGGTCGCCTCCAGGCCTCTCGCGGGCAGGGGTAGTAGGAAGCCTCTCGACTAGACGTAAGAGTGACCTTTCGCTGGAGTGACCTTTGGTGCGGGCACAGATGGATCCCCAGATAGCTGAAAACGAAGCAGTAGCAGCTGCTTGTGCGCCCAGGCTTGGTCCCGGTCCCCCCGCGGCTCCCAAAAAGTCGCGCACCAAAGGTCACTCTTACCCAGGGTCACTCTTGCGTGTAGCCGAGCCTCGAACCTCGAGACTCGAGACCCGAGCCTTGATCCGCGAATCTCGGTCCTCGAACCTCGGTCCTCCATCCTCGGTCCTCGATCTTCGAACGTCGATCCTCCATCCTCGACCCTCGGTCCTCGAGCCTCGAGCCTCGATCCTCGAACCTCGATCCTCGATCCTCGGGCCTCGAGCCTCGGTCCTCGAGCCTCGAACCTCGATCCCTCATCCTCGACCCTCGAGCCTCGAGCCTCGAGCCTCGGTCCTCGGTCCTCGATCCTCGGGCCTCGAGCCTCGGCCCTCGATGCCCGGGCCGTGCGCGCGGGAGAG